AACATTGACTGAAAAACTTTTTGGAAGACCAGAAGAGATTTATATTCTTCTTGAAACCGATCACTATTTTAATATGCAATTAATGCAAGCTAAGTGCATGAGCTTAAAGAATTCCAAACTTGGATGGATTGTAGCCGGTAAAATTGCAGAGAGAGCACCGACATCACCGATGTGTGCTGTACTCACGGAAGGAGAAAAGGTGGATGAGAAACTCGTCAAATTCTGGGAACTGGACCACTTTTAACTGGAAACAAAATGTTATCCGCCAATAAAAAAACAGTGTGAAGTTCATTTTCTTCAGCACACTCATATGGCTCAGGACTCAAGATTAATTGTAAAATTTCCATATTATTAATTAAAAACCGTCACATAACGTCACAAACGTCTGCGTCATTTCTGCCAACGAAATACTTGGAATATTTAGCAACCAAGCAAATGCAGAAGTATCCTATAGGATCTTCTGCACTGGAAAATGATTTTTATGTCGACGATTGTATCACCGGAGCCAATGCAAGTCCTGAGGCCCTACAAATTGAAAAGGAGCTTATCCATATTCTGTTAGGCTTTAATTGAGGAAATAGTGCCCAAATAGTAACCATCTAATTCAAGGGATGAATAAGAAAGATATAATTTCTAATATACAAATTGAAGATGCTGCTTATGAAGACTGCAGTATAAAAACATTAGGAATTACATGGAATCCTACAATAGATAAGCTCTGCGGAAAAACACAGTCCGTAACCACACACAAAGTAACAAGACGCGATGTAGTCTCCGAAATATTCAAAAAACTCGATCCTTTTGGACTATTTTCTCCAGTTGTTATAAAGGCCAACATATTTTTGCAAGGTTTAACAATGGCAAGATTCGAATACAACGAAGAATTACCTACGCATTTACATTGGGAGTGGAAGCCATTCCGGGAAAATTGTAAAACATTGAATGACGTAGAAGTTTCGTGTCATGTTTTTGATAGAAAAATTACGATATACAAGGAGATACATTTACGGATAAAAGAGTGACTGTACAATTATTATGTGCCAAGTCTAGTTTGACCCCAGTAAATGCTATCATACTCCCGAGACTTTAATTAAAGGAATGAGTTTTACGTGCTCAATTATCTGCCACCATGAAGCAGCAATTGTCGCTACAAGGAACTGTAATATATTTTAGTTCGGATTCCGAAATTGTGTTGTTCTGGATAAATAGCCAAAAACAATAAAGGATAAATTTGTGGCCAATACCCAAAAACCATTATTACAAGGGATTGGCGACATGTTTCATCAGAAAACAACGCTGCAGACATAGCTTCAAAAGGAATTAGTGGTTCCAAATTCACCAATCTAATACTATAGTTCTATGACCCACTTTTCTTATATGGTCCTTCACCAAAACGGCAATTACCATTTGTTGCTGCGAAATCAGAACGCCAAGCTCCACTAGCCACATCAAGGCAACGTTATTGGGCTATAAAGGGGACAACTATAGCTAGAAATGTCATTTTCAAATGCGTCAAATGCACTAGAGCTAAGCCAAAATTAAAAGAACAAACAATGGGACAGCTACCAACATTAAGGGTCACACAAGCTAGACCATTCCATAACTCTGGAATAGATTATTGTGGTCCATTTAAAATTTGTGGAAAGAAAACACATACTGCGTACATAGCAATATTTTGCTGCTTCGCTACTAAAGCTGTTCATTTGGAACTGGTCAGCGAGGAAAATGTCAAACATTGCACTGCGACATTGCTACCAATTTTGTTGTTATTTTGTCCAAAATGGAGGAGATCCTTGGAGAACGTAAAGGAAAGAGAGTTTCGGATACTTTATTCAGAGGGATTAGGAGTTCCCTTATCTGTGCGCCTCACAGCGTTCACGGCTTGTCCTAGCTCCATCAGCTGCGTAAGACCCTCCATTAGCGGCTGCAATGACTATCGCGTCGTTTCGTGGCGGCCGTACTTTGGGCTTCTTGACCTTCTGCTTTACCTGCTGCCATTCCTTTTGCTTTTTCTTAGGGTTTTGCCGGTACCTTTTTTGCTGGAGCAAATAGCGATTTCCATGTTTTTGGCCCGCTTGCTGTTGCTGGTCGCAAGCACTTCTCCGCAAATTGTCCCGGATTTCTCCTTGGATTTCTCCTGCTCTTCGATTATGCTTTGCACAATCGATAGGGCCTCTCTCTGTGGGTAGTCGATTTCATCGACTATGTCTCTCATTGGGTTGGTAATGGAACGGTTTCCTTACATTACCTTTCTCAGCTCGCTGGCCATTAATCCCTGGACTATTAGCTGTTTCAGCTCACCCGTTTCTGTACTTCGGAAGCTTTTGGGCCGCTTTCTTCTCCTACTTGTGTGTCGTTATGCTGCCTCCCTTCGCACTCCAAACTTTTTCCGGGCGATCTCGCCATTACGCAGCTCTTCCTGAAATGGTCAGCTTCGTTGTTGGCCCAATCTGGGAGGTTTAACAACGGCTTGTTGATGCCCCCGGGATTGGCCGGGGCCGACACGTTCCGTTTGCCGGCGTGAATCCATGTACAATTCGTAACACTCATAGGCTTGCACCTGGGTGTTGTGCTGGCCATTTCCCCGCCTGGAGAATTCATGCGTGTAGTAGCGCAGGAAATTTTGACCTTTCCCCGCAGTAAGCTGCTATTTATTAAGTCGGACTATGCGGAGATTTCCCTCTCTTTCTTTGTCTTAAATCTAGTGTTCTTTGCCCTTAATCGGAATTCGGTGTTTCCGTTATTCTCTCTTCTTGGTATTACGCCTTAGAAAAGCAAAACAAAATAAAAACGCGTAATTGAGCAAGAAGTATCCTTGGACTGCAGGCATAATTAAACATCATCTGCGTACATTAGTACATGAGAATGAGTTATAACTGAGAGAAGGTCATTTATAGGAAAAGTAAAAAATAGCAGCCCCAGGTGGCTCCCTTGTGGGACAACGGAAACAACGTGGAGTAGAGAAGAGAGAGAATATTTAAGAAATACTCTTTTTGTTCTGCAATGCAGATAACTTAAGATACATCTTAAAGGATCAACAGGGAACCCTAATAAGAACAGGGAACCCTTACAGTTACAGAGTCAAATGCTTTACTAAAGTCAATCTGACGTCTGTTTGAAGATGTTTTTTAAATCCCTTTATCACAAATGATGTAAGTTCTAAAAGCTTAGTGGTTGTTGATCGACACGGAGATATACTGACCTACAGAGGTGCTGCAAATGGGGAGTAATAATATTTTCAAAGAGCTTTGGGATTACTGACAATTAAGTGATTCTTCTATAATTTGCTATCTTTTTTGGGGAGAGGAATTACAAACGATACCTTCAACATATGGGAAAATTGTAAAGATTCTTAGGCCCCCGCGCAATATCTAAGCACGCAGCCAGGAATTCCATCGGGACCAGGCGAATAGACGGGCTTAACACGTCGACGATCACGTATCGTGTAACGTATCCTAGAAATCTTTAGATTTCCGCAAGGAAGAGCAGATGAAAATTTTTATACTTTTCGTAGCACGTGATGGTTCAGGCTGGTCGTCGATTCCGATGATATAAAGCCCATTACCTCCCGTGTGTATGTGAAACGTGGCATAGACTGTGGAAGTTATGTGGATTTCTTTGACTTAACATTCGTTCTTTCTATTCGCGAAGAATTCGGATTCGCTCGTCATGGTCGACATCGGGAATACTCTCATTACAACAAAATCGCTAAGCTTGAGATTATTTCTTGATCTGAATATGCCTATACACACCAGCAGGCAACTGTGGTTATTAGGATGGTTTTCTTTATTATTTTTCTTAAAGTTACTTTATACGCTTACTTTTATATTATTTATTTTCTAGTAATTGTAAAATGCGCCTTCGTTTTTAAAGAGGTCACTAAAATTTGTTGAAAATGTAATAATATGGGGTCTACACACGGTACAAACCTCCCGAGCGTTTTTCCAACGTTTTCCGACTTAGCCGATGTTTTGTCGCACTGCTCGTAGCTGCGACCGTCGCGTGTGAGTTTGTAATGAGACTGTAGCCCCTCTCCTCTCTGGCCCCTCTCTACGTCTGGCGTTCGGAGCGTAGTATTGATGGGAAACCAATAGTTGGGAGAATTAAGGTGTGGGAATAACTCACGATTAATTAATGACTTTAATAATCTGAACGGTTGACTTGGACTGGCTGGAACTTTTGCAATGCACGTCTGCCTTGGTTGGTGCTAGAATTAGAAAAAACCAAAACACGCGTGTCAGATCCTCATGAAACCAAAATTTCCCGCAATATCGAAAAAGATCGCCATTTTTGTTTGCCAACGCCCGGGACTACCATCCAAATTTAATTTATTTCATTTATTTTTTATTTATTTCCTAACACGTAAAGACTTATATTTATTGCGTTAGTCACATCGGGTTGAGTAAAGAATTTTCAAATAAAATAAATAATTTAAATGTACTAACAAAGTTGTGTTTACAAATTGAGTATAAGTTTAAGTTTGCAACTATCTTTAAGCATGCATAAACTCTTTGATTGTAAAGATAAACTGAGACGCGCTTCTGATGGTTTTAAGAGCATGAGGTTTATTGTTCCATAGGGGAATAGCATTAATAAATAATTGCCAATTCGCGCGCATAAGGTTTCATATCTGGGGATTATACATTTTTGTGTTCTTCGCGATTGAGCTGGAAGAAGTTTCTGAAACAAAGAAGACGGTTCACGGGTGCACACAATCTTTTAAAAATAAATTAACGTTTTAAGGTCAACCCACTGACTAAGGGAAAGGTCAAGAATATTATTGACTACGTGGAAAGTGTGGTGCGACGAATTGAATCACATGCGTATCTTGAGTGTCGCAATACCCAAAAATCTCAACACCGAAAAACTTCGTGGGAACCAAAATTGTTTTGGCCACTTGCACACTTAGCTGAGTTGGCAAGAACGACTGAGAAGTAGAAAGCTGTCTCAGAAGTCCATATGTTCTGGAAGTAGAAAGCTGTCTCAGAACATACGGGCTTCTGAGACAGCTTTCTACTTCTCAGTCGTTCTTTAATTCCCTATTCCCACCTTATTGAGCTGAGCCTAACAGGGACTCATTCTGCGCCGTGGGAACTTAAGCTTAAAAATGGAAGGAAAACCCCAAGAAAAGCATGCAGGAGGTCACTGCAGATGAGAAAGGTCGCCTAATCGAAGCTGTTTCCCATTATTATGGGACCTCACCGAAATCATGCCGGTCGTGACCTCGCAAAGAAAGTAATTTCGGGAAAAAAGAATTTGGTTACGTTGTATTAATAGAAGTATCTTTTTAGCAGAACCACCAATAATACGATCTCCGACGAGCTCTATTTGGGAATCCCAGGACTCCACCTTCACCAACTACTTGGCAGCTAGTGCGAAGATGGAGGAGGAAAAAAGGCTCCGCTAAGGCACACCTGGAAAAGCCATTACCATCCATTGCTAGGATGCTGTGCGACTTCCTGCAGCATCAGGCGAAACAACCCCGTTCCCAACCTGGCTCCTACTTCCTCAAGATCAAATATGCCTATTGGGACTCGGAGCTGGACTGCAGATGGCGCGGGAAGGATGGCGAAGCATCCGTGGGACGAGAAGGTAGCTCTAAACTACTAATTTACATAAATAAACAATAAAAATCAGCAGACTCTTCTTTTTTAAGTTGCGTGAACTTTGAAAACTTCGGTCACACTTCAAAGAACAAGATTTGAAGACTATTGAAACTCTTAGCCGATCTGAGTACTAGGCTTAAAACTGAATAAAATTGAAAATTTGACATGGCTATAAATAAGTAATTAATCGGTATAATATAAAATCATCGAAAAACCACGGAAAACAGCGCTAAGGAAAAAATCGAGGCATCGATGAATTTTTTAATAGTTTTGATATAAGATTCATTCTGTTATTTTATTTATATGAAAAACTACAAAAAAGCTTCGGTACTAATTAAATTTTTTTTATTTTTTATACATGTAATGAAATTCTTTTGCACGTATGGTACACTTAGCACTATTTGTGTAAAGTTTTGTGGATTAGATCCAGCAAAAGCTGGTCTTTGTCGTTATTCTGGAATTTATCATTGCCATATACATATATACATATGAAGCTAATAAATATATTTACCTTGCCATTTCTACTTTTTTCACATATGTAAAACCAAAGATAATATAGACTCCAAGATGAATAACCACTATACAACGGAATGTACGGCGAAATTTGTTGTGTGTATTTTCGATCTTCCTAGTCTGCGTTGTTCGTGTAATAATCTTTGGTTGTGTTAGCTTATAATATTGTGTGCTCTGCAGCAAAAAGGCTCAAACTCGCATTTGACTGATGCGCTGTAACAAAGCGCCCTGGGCGAGGGATCTAGTCGTTTAAGGGGGTTCACCTGTGTGAATGTCGACTTTCAAGCGCTTTTTCGGATATTTCGTGTAAGTAAACTATTCAAGGTTTTTGAATAATTATTTTTGTATTTTGTTAGATTATTTTTTAAGCTTATATATTTTTATGTACAACAGTTTTATCAAGAAAGTGTACTGGTTACCGAAGCTGGAACGAGACTTTCCCAAATTTACGGACCTAAACGGTGTACAGGATACACCACACATAAGTCGTCTGAAACAAAAAACGAAAATACTCCGTTATTCGTAATCAAGTTGCCAAGGTACTGAGTTTACATGAAGTAAAACTTTTGGCATCAATGGAAAGGTAATTTAAATGCCGTTGGAATGATACAATACATTTCTTAACCCATTCAGTATTTATTGTAGAGGACGAATTTGTGTAAGTCTATGTTTAAATTACCTTTCCATTGATGCCAAAGTTTACAAGAAATAAGTTCAAATTATGAGTATATTTAACATTTGTTTTGTCAAAATACTTATGCCGACCAGTGTACTTAGATAGCTCTGCAAATGATTTTGTTTGCACCAATGGCCTTAAAGCGATAGTATGTGAAATACATGGCTATAGGATCGAAAAAAGGGGCAATTTTTTTAAAACAGGTAGAAAGATTGAATTCGACTTCCGAAATTTTTATTGCTAAAAAAGTTTTCTTGCTGTACAAACATTGCAAATGTTTTGACTCCCAAGATGATTGTTAAAGTAGCAATAATTTAAAAATTCTTCGCCATAAATAAATAGTTTTCCAACGATTTTTGAATGTTTTAACAGCAAAACTTGAATCTAATTATTGAATATGTTTACTTTATGTAATAAGCACTTATCATATTCATTATATATATATTATCATAAATTCATTCATAAAACAAAGTTAAAAAAATAACTAAATAAAGTACAGTTAAAAATTAAAAAATAATAGTAAAATAAAATACAGCTAGAAAGAAGAACAAAAATTAGTATAATTAAATTCAGCCTCAGAGCGGAATTGAACCTCGAACATTTCATCAGCGGGCCACCACCCACATACAATTGTTAAGCGAAATGTGCCTTTTAGGTCGATTCCCTTTTGCCAACATAATTCAAGAACTGACGAATGAACCAAATATTATTTTTGTCTTTTTGGCATCGAGGAGTGTCGGGAGCGAGAGAGCAGGTGACAGAGAGAAACAAAGTAACGGAACTCTAAAAATAGATTCATATACGTGTGAGCTTTGTTTGCAAAAACCGGCTGTGTACATTTTTATGCTCCTGGTTAGGCATCTTGGTATCTCATAGTCTTTTGTAAAACCAACGCCGACTTAAGATCTCAATATCATGAAATTAGAGACCAATGTTTCGTAAAACATCGATGTCTCAGTTAACAAAAACATCGGAAAACATCGTTAAAAGTAAGTTCCATGCTCGATGCATCGAAGTTTTCAGTATCCCTAGTTCCAACACAAAGGTCCCCAGGATGTTAATTCGGGAGACACAGTCGAAAGTTCGGGAACGTATTCCAAAAAAAATTTGTTCTAGGTCGTATCTTTTTTACGCAAAGCAACACGCATGCAAATTTCGCAGGACAAATGTACGTGCTAGGTGCATTCTATCGCGGTGCCATCTGGGTGTGTTTCAATATAGTGCATCCAGGTTTATTTTGCTGGGAATGTAAAAAAACAAAAATGAAACCCGAAGGTTGCCTTAGTCCATTTTTCTACGATCGTTTCTTTGGGTACTTTTCTCTTGACAAACAAATAATAAAGACAAAACGGAACTCGCAAGGAAGCGCGCGGTTTTTCTTGTCTCTTGCATTTCTCGTCAGTTTAATTTTTAAAGTTTAAAAAGTTTGTTGCTTTCTGCCACCAATTTTACTACAATAAAGTAAAGAGTAGATTAGGTTAGGTTAGGTAGGAGTGGTTGGAGACTAGATATTAGTCCCCTCACTTAGGCCACAATGGGCCCCTTGTGATACCACATGATCTCTGAAAGATCCGTTTCCCTAGCTCATGGGTTATCTGCTTTCGCGAAGTATTCTGTTCTTCTCAAAAAACATAATAGTTTTTGAATGCTTACGTCCTGAATGGCCGCAAGGTTCGGAAGTGTGTAGCTACCCAGGGTTTGAAAGCGCTTTAGGTTATGCGCTGGGCAGAAGCATAGGAGGTGTTCGATGCTCTCCTCTTCGACTATCTGTTTGCAGCTGCGGCAGAAGTCGTGGTTACTTAGACCCAGCCTTAGCGCATGAGTGCCTATAATACAGTGGCCCGTGAGAGCATTTAGGAGAGTGGAGATGTCCTCCCTGCTACATTGTAGGAGAGTTTTTGTTCTTTTTGAGTTGTAGTTTGGCCATGTGAGTCTAGAATTGTGGCATGTTGAGATTGAGTTCCAACGGTTGTTGGAAAGTGTGAACAATCTCTGCCTGAGATAGAGCTTGCTGGTAGCCATGGGCATACCTACCGTGTCCTTATCACGAAGGATATCGGCGGTTGTCCCCTGTCTTGCTAGCTCGTCTGCAATGCAGTTGCCCTCAATATTTCGGTGTCCAGGCACCCAGATGAGGTTGATTCTCAGATGAGTGGCCATCTCGTTAAGAGATTTGCGGCATTCAGAGATTGTTTTTGAGCTCGTTGTGTAGGAGTCGAGGGCCCTGAGGGCTGCTTGACTATCCGAGAAAATGAAGATATCTATGTCTTGATGTACAGACGTGTTCAGGTGGGTAGTGGCTTCCTGAATTGCCATCACTTTCGCTTGGAAAACACTACAGTGGTCTGGTAGGCGGAATGAGACTTTTATGTCTAGTTCGGGGGAAAAGACTCCCCCACCTGTTTGGGAGTTAAGCTTGGAGCCGTCAGTGTATATGTTGACGGCGTTTACGAATTGATGTGGGAGGTTGTCGCAGTCTGTACGGGTGGGTATATAGATCTTGTATCTTTTTTCGAAGTTGACTATGGGTGGGACGTACTCTGTATTACGTGGTAGGGGTGAATGTTTTAATAGGATATTGGAGTGACCCGTGGAGCCTGTTGTCCAAGCCGCTGCTTCACGGAGCCTCAGCGCTGCTGCAGATGCCCAGCTTTTGGCAAGTAGGTCCAGGGGTTGGAGATCGAGAATTGTGTTTAGTGCCTCAGTGGCGGTAGTGCGAAGCGCCCCACTGATGCAGAGCTCTGCGCTTCTTTGGATCTTATGAAGGATCCGGACGTTGCAGTTCTTATCTAGAGAAGGCCACCAAACGATGTTTCCGTAGAGGAGAATGGGCCTGACTATTGCAGTATATAGCCAGGGAACTATCATGGGGGAGAAACCCCACTTCCTCCCTATGGCTTTTTTACTATGGCCGCTTTGCGTGTGCGATCTAGGATGTTATCTGTCCAGAGGAGCTTTTTGTCAAGGATGACACCTAGGTACTTTGCTTGGTTGCTAAAGGTTAGGCGCGTTAGGTGTAGTTTTGGGGGAACTAGAATTGGTACCTTATACTTCCTTGTAAAGAGAACTAGTTCGGTCTTTTCTGGGTTAACTCCCAGTCCACAGCCAGCCGTCCACCGGGAGAGGGTGGATAGGGCTGTCTCCATTAGATTGCAAAGGGTTTGCGGGAATTTGCCCTGCAGTAGGATAACCACGTCATCCGCGTAGGCTACCACTTTTGTGCCCGCCTCTTCTAGAAGTGATAGCAGTTTGTTGACCCCGAGTGGGCCGATCCCATAGTGGAGTACACTACTCTGCTGGTTAGCATGGTGTGTATGAGTCCCACTATGGGCCGCTCAATGCCCAGTTCAGTCAGAGCACCAGTAATCGCCGTTGGGGTGACGTTGTTAAAGGCGCCTTCTATGTCTAGAAACGCTGCAAGAGAGTGTTCCATATTGCGGAAACCTCTCTCTATACTGTACACTAGAGAGTGGATGGCGGTATCGGTTGATCTACCCTTACGGTACGCATGCTGTGCGTCAGAGAGTAGGCTATGGTCGAAGATTAGACTGATATGGGTGTCAATTAGCCTTTCCAGGGTCTTCAACAAGAAGGAAGACAGACTAATCGGGCGGAAGTCCTTTGGGTTGGTGTGGGAGGGCTTGCCGGCTTTCGGTATTAAAATTACCTTAACGTCCAGCCACCTTGTTGGAATATGGTTTAGAGCAAGGCAGCCGTGGAAGATGGCTGTCAGCCAGGGTAGGGACATATCTAGTGTCCGTTGTAGCTGGGCCGGGAAGAAACCATCTGGGCCAGGTGATTTGAAGGGCTTAAAAGAGTTGACAGTCCACTGAATGCGGCAAGGGTTTGAAATGTTGTCAATACTCTGGTCGTCTAAGTTCTCCTCTATGTGGAGGTCCTCCACTACATGGGTGTTCTTGGGGAAGTGGGTGTCTAACAGTAGTTCAAGGGTTTCCTGACTGTTTTCCGACCAGCTGTCAGCATTGGTTTTTAGATAGCCAATGGTTGCTGGAGCTTTTGCTATAATTCTTCTGAGTCTGGATGCCTCCGCAGTAGATTCTATGCTACTGCAGAAGTTAGCCCAAGCTCTTCGTTTTGATATTCTAATTTCCTTTTTGTATAGGCTTAGTTTTGTATGATATAAATTCCAGGAGGATTCGCTATTGTTGTATTTAGCTCTACTGAAGTAAGTTCTACACTCTCTTTTAAGGTTCGCCACGGTTGCGTTCCACCAAGGGGGTTTGTGCTTTTTTTACTGTTCTGCTTGGGGAAGCCCTTTTTAAGGCCTCAAGGCAGATATCAGTAAAAGTGTTAACTAGGTTATCTATATCTTGACGGTTGCGTATGTGTGTCGGAGGAGCGTGTACGTTCCTGTTGAGGAGATTTTTGTAGTATCCCCAGTTGGTTAATCTTAGATGTTCTCGGCGGGAGGACAATCTAGACTTATTGTAAATTCTACGTATCGGTGGTCTGAGAAGGAGTGTTCGATCCCCACCTTCCACGCTTCTAGCTGGTTAAGTAGGGGATCAGATATTAGTGTAATGTCTAGTACTTCCCTCCTATTTCTAGTGATGAAAGTTGGGTCATTACCCTTGTTGCAGATGAATAGATTTGATTGAAGGAGATAGTCGTAGAGTAACTCACCCCTTTCGTTGATGTTTGTACTTCCCCATTGTGTGTGGTGTGAGTTAGCGTCCCCACCCAGGATGAGTTCCTTAGATGAGTGAGTGCGTATGAGTTGTTGTGTAGTATTCGTATTCGTGAGCCAGATAGAATGATGCTATGGTGTGATGAGTGTGTTCGTTTAGCTCCAGTCTGACCGTGGTGAGGTCGCCTTCGCTAAACTGTGGAATAAGAAATGTATTAAAGTGTGTTTTTGTAAGAATGCAGGTTCTGGGTTTACCCCTGTCCTTGGTGTATAGGGGGGTTAATAAGCCACAGATGTTGTTACCAACAATCCATGGCTCTTGAATGAGGACTACGTCTATGTTGCCTGTTGCCAGGCGGGTGAGGAGGGCAGCGGATGCTGCCTTGCTGTGGTGCAGGTTAATTTGCAGAAACTGCACCATCTTTGGGACTGGGGTCGGGCTGGGTACCCTCCGCTTCCTCCCCTACGTCCTGGAGAACAGAGCGCCCTGGTCGGGTTGTGTCCTGGGTGCACAGCTGCTTCAGGCTCTCCGTCAGCTCCGAGTCGGTTGACACGTAGCCGGTAAGGGTGGCCTTTTCATGTTCAAGTTCGTCGTCGCGCTCGGTATTTTCCACCTTGACCACCTTCCAACCGTCTGTTGGAAGTTTCGGATTGAACCTGGTCAGCAGGCTGAGTATAGCCTCTGGTTCCGAGGGTTCCGACGGCAGCCACACCCTCGCTCTCGGTCGAGACGAGACGAGACCTTGTTAATTGCAGCCTTGTAGAGTGCTGCCGATCTCTCGTCTTCGCAGGCGATCAACTTAACATTGCCCTGGTACCACCCTGCATCTGTGCAATCGGGTGGCGGGCCTGGGTTTTCGTCCAGCACTTTCAAGGCCACTGACGCAAGGTCCCGTCTAACCAGACCCCATTGGTTTCTTGGGATCCTACCGCCTTCATCGCTCTGGTCGATGACACCAATGATCTTCCTAACCTTTACCACTTCCGCAAAGGATCTCGACCATGTGCCGCGGTTGGTTACCTTAGCCTTCTTGCTCGCTGGTTGAGCTGACTCCATCGACCTCTCTCGCTTGTTGCTGTTGCTGGTAGTCATAGCGATGTCGAAGACTGGGATAACTGCATTTGCCCAGGCTATGTTCTCTTGGATTTTCAGGTAATCCAATTTTGACGTCTGATCCTCACGTATCGGATTGGTGGCCAGCTTTCTTTCGTTCAGAGGTCCAGCCTGGTTAAGTGGTATCCTCTCAAACTCCTTTGCCCTGGTACTCACCACGAGACCGGCTTTAGCGCTCCCCTCAGGTTGGAGTGGCTGGTTAGCCACACCTACGCTGGTGGGAGGCTTGGGCTTGTCGCTATGGCGAGTTGGGCTTAGCCGGCTGCGTTGTTCGCTGGCCTTGGCAGGGGTGGATGTCACATGGACTGGGGTGGTCGGAGCCGTGATCTTGCTCTTCCTATCGTCGTTGGTTACGACTTCCGACTTTTTAAGAGTGTCGGGCTCTTGTTTGGTGCAGTCTTTTTGTTCTTTGTTAGTTAAGTTCTCCATATTAAATCCCACGAGCTGCGGAGAAAGGACAGGTCCACCCGGGCAGAGATCCGCCGTACCCGGGTAAGGCTGACTTAGAACAGGCGGTCGCCACTTGCCTGAGCTCACCGTTTGAGACTGAGTTATTTGATGACTCGGGCTCCCAGCCAGATTGACTCTCGGAACGGTACGAGTGAAACCTTAGTCCAGCCCGGGGTGAGATGAGTTGTGTGGGTAGGGAAGAGGTAGGTTCAAAGAGTGTGGGAAGGGGTATGTGTGAGCTATTTGTCGGAGGCGGCAGCACAAGCGCGACGTCGGTACTGCTACGGCGCAGATACCCGCTGACTGTCCGGGGCTACTTATTTGCGCTTCGTGTTGGGGGCTTGGCGGTAGCCGGGCCGCGTCCAACTTCCACGCTTATTCGGAGCTACCCTGGAGCCCTGGTTCTCGCCCTGGTTCTCGCTATTCGCAACCTGCGACCCGTTCGGTAGCCTTCAGCTCGGCGCCCTCAGAGCCATCCCACTAGCTCTTTGGCTGAAAAAGTGTAGATAATTTAGTTCAATATGAACACAATAAAATAACATAATACATATGTACAATTGTACATTCAAACTAAAAACAAATTAATTAAATAAAATTATAACTATTTGTATGTAAATGGTACATACAACAGTGTAATTGTTTCAAAATAAAAATACATTATATATATGTAATAATATACACATATATATAAGTAAAAAAATATTAAATTTGCTTTATATCTTTCAGAATCGCAAAAAAAAAATGGATGGGCACACCCAGGAGTGAACTCCGTAAATGATAAAAATACATAAATAAGAAGGAAGCAGCAAAGCCCCGTACAGAAGGGGAGTGATTCCGAAAATTTATTTGCGTTCTTGAATATTGAAATATAAAACAAGGAAGAACGCTATAGTCGAGTACCTCGACTATCAGATACCCGTTACTCAGCTAAATGGAGATATGCAAGCAGCAAAGCGAGATTAAAATGCGCCACCTACCGGCGGTAGACAGATTTAAGCGTTATGGGCGTTAGAGTGGGCGTGGCAAATTTATTTTTGGATAAATCGAGAGGTATTGACGTACCAATACATTTCAGTTAAAATTTTTTATGTAGCATGCAAATTGTGGGCGTCGCAGGTTTTCGCGGTTTGTGGGCGTTTAAGTGGGCGTGGCAAACTTTTTTTTAGGTCAATCGATAGGTATTGATGAGAACAATACATTTCAGTTAAAATTTTTTAACTAGCATCAAAACTGTTGGAGTTACAGTTTTGGGCGGTTTGTGGGCGTTAGAGTGGGCGTGGCAGTCTACTGAAACAAACTTGCGCTGCGTCAGAAGCTCAGGAATCTGTACGCCAAATCTCAACAGCCTAGCTCTCATAGTTTCCGAGATCTCAGCGTTCATCCGGACAGACAGACGGACAGACGGACATGGCTAGATCGACTCGGCTAGTGATCCTGATCAAGAATATATATACTTTATGGGGTCGGAAACGCTTCCTTCTGCCTGTTACATACTTTCCGACGAATCTAGTATACCCTTTTACTCTACGAGTAACCGGTATAAATATATGAAATTGAAATCCAGTTTGATGTATTCCTTGGGAAAGCTTTCACATATTTGATTTTTGAAAGCATCTAGCTGCATTCCCATGTAAATGTTACAGGTGCATTAAAAAAGAGTGCGTCTAGAATGTGTCTAGTTTGTTGCATCTGGGTGCATTCCTGGGTACAGCTCACAGGTGCATAAAAAAAGAGTGCGTTCAGAATGTGTTTAGTTTGTTGCATCTAGGTGCATTCAAAATCTACAGCATGCAACGGGTGCATTCTTTTTTTATCTCGCAGCCGTGTAAAAGGACTGGACAGACTCATCACTTTCGGCACAGGTTTTTGGTGCCATTTCATAATGAAAGAACTGGTGCTGGAATGCAGTCATTTACGACTGGGCGAATGCAACGGCGGCAATGCCTTTGTACCGCTTTAAACGTGCTGAATGTGTGACAGATTTTGTGCAGTGATGAGTAGTGCATGCCTGTTTAAATCAGTACCACTCTTCATACAAATTCAGCGCTGTTTTGGCGCTCGGTGGAGACTTTTGCAGTGACTAAGTGCGTAAAAAGCGCCGAGTGGTATTGCAGGGCACGGGACCGCGGCTCTGTAGCTTCGCAGTCGACTGCGTGATGAATTTGTTCCAGCGCTGAATTGTGGAACTGCAGAAATCCTATGTTTATGTTAACACAATTATTGTTCAGTGTAAATATCTGTCGACGTGACAAGTTTTTTAAATCGGACCATAAGTAAAATGGGTTAGTGGGGTAGACGAGGGACTCTCTTGTTATACCTGTTACTTGTAAAGCAAAAGGGTATAGTAGATGCATCGAAAAGTATGAAACAGGTAGAAGTAAGCGTTTCCAACCCCATAAAGAGTATGTATTCTTGATCAGGATCACTAGCCAAGTCAACCTAGCCTTGCCGATCTATCAGTATGAACGCTGTGATCTCGAAAGTTATAAAAGCTGCAAAAGCAGACTCTAAAGATTCCTGCGCAGCGCAAGTTTGTTTCATCGGGCTGCCGCACCTACTCTAAAACTGCTCCAAAAACGGCGGCGCCTACAATTTTAGTGCTTAATACAAATTTTAACTTAAATGTATTGTTATTATCAATACCTATCGTAAATATGAACGTGGATATCTCGGAAACTATAAAAGAGATTTGGGATCTCAGATTTAGATTCCGTAGCCTTGCATGCAGCGCAAGTTTGTTACGCGAATATGCCACGCCCACAAGCCGGTCAAACCTGTGGCGCCCACAATTTTCACGCTAGAAAAACAATTTTATCTGAAATCTATTAGTACCGTCAATACCTACCGACGCAAAATAGCCTGCCACGCCCACAAACCGCCCAAAACTGTGGTGCCCACAATATTCATGCTAGAAAAAATTTGTAGCTGAAAAGTATTTGTCCCGTCAATACCTATCATTTGACCTAAAAAAGAAATTGCCACGCCCACTCTAACGACCATAACGCTTAAATCTGTCTGCCGCACACATAACCATGTGGCGCATTACAATCTCGCTTTGCTACTTTTTAACCTGTATTTAAAAAAATGCATCACAACTGACTCTAATATAGATTCATGTTCATTTGAATTTGTTACAGTTTAATTATATTTACAAACCTTTTAAAAATGTAAAATTAGAAATAAAACAAATTAACATACACATACATTTTTTATTTAAGCATATGAATTTATTAACTTGTGTAGTCGAACCTTTGGTTGGTTTCGAAATCGCTCTGATTTAATTCGACGCAGATCGTGTCCTTTTGAATTGACATAAAATGGTAAAACGCCATTTTTTTTTAAAACTATTTTATTTCCCAATGTAAAATGCATATAGTCAACTTCTTGATTACTTTGCGCCTGAGTTGAATTCAAAAACGGAATTCCCTTTACTTCAGTTAGCCTATTTCTTGTATTTTGCTTCTGAACAATGTTAAAATTAGTTTCATTAGCAATATTTTGATAAGACCTTTGTGTCATTAGACCTATAAAAAATGCTTTTACAATATGCTGTAGGTTTGTAGAACCCTCAATTTTGGCATATAAGTCTTTTATACCTATAACTTTACAAATTGTTTGTATTGCCCGATGGCACACTAAGCCGTATCCATGAGGCTTTTGAAAACAATAAATCTTCGTTTTTCCAAAATCTGTACTAAAATCATGATAAATAGTCCTGTTTTCACAGAGGCTTACATTGATTAGTTTTTGTCCTGCTCGATTTTTCGACTTTCGAAGAGCAGTTCGAGCTTCTGGCGCTTTAGCAGTAGCAAATCCGGCTAAGCCTTTACCATTTCCCGTTACCGATAAGACAGAATATCTACGTTTCCTACCCATATTTCCTTTCATAATAAATACAATTTTGTTTTCCAAAACTCGTGTATCAAATGAGGTAAACTCTTCCTCACCAACAGTATCAGGCTGTCCAATACTTCTTCCAGGCATTTTACTTCCAGACCAACCTCGATCTATTGGATTTAACTTTATCAACCTGAAATTTCCCATTGTATCACGTAATTTTAATATTCCTGTTTCTCTATCTAAGTTTTCGTCAAGTTTCTGCTGGTAAATAAGTTCATTTCCACGCATGATAGGTGAATTTAATCCAGGCCATATACGATTGTTTTTTCCATAGCCGATAGTTTGTCCTTTGTTTAGATCCTTTGCTACTTTCTTTCCACTTCCTTTTCCACGACCTCTTTTTTTTCCAGCATTACTAACCGCAGTTACTCCACGCCAAATATCTTCAGCAGGAACTAAAAAGAAAGGAAACATATGTTTATTTTAAGAAGTAGTAGTTTTTGAATTTTTCGAGATCTTAGCATTCATTTGAACGGGCGGACATGACTAGTGGTCCTAGTGGTACACCCTATAAGGTCGAAAGCGCTTTCTTCTAACTGTTACATACTCCGACGAATAAAATATACTCGACGAGTGACGGATACAGTTGAACACATAAGCTAAATATAAAATGAACAAGAGAGAACGGTTTAATCGACTGGGTCAACTATCAGATACCTGTTACATAGCCTTTATATCAAAAATTGATCAATGCTAAGTAAAAATGTAAGGATAACCGTTTTAAAATTGGAATATGCTTGGAAGATTCGCAAATCACATTAGGCACACGAGATTTTCCGTACGAGATTTAGCCGTAGACTAATGGGAAAACAGAAAGATTTACAGCGCTGTTTCGTGCACAAATGTTCGGTCCTTTTACCGCCTTCTAGTGCTCTTCAACACAAGTTAGCCGCGCACTCTGCTCTCTAAGAGAGCCGGCAGCGTTTTTGGCTTTCCGCGCAGTTCGAACTGCAACTATTTACACTCACACACACATGCATAAATACATTTATTGTCTGGTAAAGCGAAATGCACTGCCGGCGCAAAGAGAGAGCAGCGTGCGCGGCTAACTTATTCTACTGAATAATTAAGAACTTAAGCAAAATTTCCTCTTGTCTTCCCCCATCTCTTCAATAACCTTAAAACCATGTTAATGTAAACTTTAAATTTTTGAAAAACAGGGGCGCGGGAGGGGGCTTCTGGCTCTATGCATTACCCCTCTCTCCATTCAGATATGCAGTGCATTCACATCAGCGAAAATGAAAGAGACGGAATATCGTTTACCCAGAGTTGAAAAGGACTAAAAGGCAGTACAAGGACCTAATATTTGTGCCCGTAACAGTGCTTCAAGTCTTTCTGTTTTCCCGTTAGTCTACGACTAATTCTTGTATGGCGTTATGGGCAATCGATGTGTATTGCCGGGACTAATACATTTTAGTTAAAAGTTTTTATCTAGCATGAAAATTGTGGGCGCCACATGTTTGAGCGGTTTGTGGGCGTTAGAGTGGGCGCGGCATATTCGCGTAACAAACTTGCACTGCGTACAAGGCTACGGAATCAATTCTCTATTCTCCATCTTTGATAATTTCCGAGATATTTGCGTTCATATGTACGATTTTTTGAAGATTATGGGCGGTCTATAGGCGTTAAAGTGGGCGTGGCAAACATTTTTCGGTGAATTGATAGGTATTGATGAGAACAATACATTTCAGTTAAAATTTTTATTCAAGCATTAAAAATGTAGGAGTCACATTTTTGGGCAGTTTGTGGGCATTAGAGTGGACGTGGCCCCTGCTGAAACAAACTTGCGCTGCGCAGGAAGCTCAGGAACCTGCATGCCAAATCCCAATAGCCTAGCTCTTATAGATTCCGAGATCTCAGCGTTTATACGGAAAGACGGCCATAGCTAGATCGAATCGGCTAGTCATACTGATCAAGAATATATATACTTTATGGGGTCTTCTGCCAGTTACATACTTTCCGACCAATCTAGTATACCCTTTTACTCTACGAGTAACGTGTATAAACACCAAAGAAATATATTTTTTTTCCGATTATTCCTTTCGGAGCTATAAGATATACATAGCTGTCCGATCCGGCTGGTTCCGACTTATATACTACTTGCAAAAGAAAGAAAACTTTTGGGAAAGTTTCAGCCCGATAGCTTTAAAACTGAGAGACTCGTTAGATACGGACGGACAGATGGACATGGCTAGATCGACTCGTCTAGTGATGCTGATCAAGAAAGTATATACTTTATGGGGTCGGAAACGTCTCCTTCACTGCGTTGCAAACTTCAGACTAAAACATAATACCCTGTGCAAGGGTATAAAAACTACCCGAAATATTCGGTAGTTGAAACGCCACTGACAACCACTGACAACATAAATAAATTTTTTTTTTCTTAGGTTATAGAGATGACAGATCGACAGAAAATAAGTGTGCGTCTGGCTTCTTTGCTTTAAGCACTTCATAAATGACAACCGTCAATATTAAGTTAAAAAGCTTAAGTGTAACTTTAAAAAAATGGGTTACCTTGAATGGGTAAAATTTAATTCATGCATTTAATAATACTCAGATGTTAAGATGACAGACGGGCTAAAATCATTGATTTCAGTATTTCAAAAACTGCTGTCGTTAAAATAAAGTGCGAAAACTAATTTATATTGCCGCCAAATTAAGATACAACCTGTTAGGGACCAATCTTACGATTGGCCTTGCCACCTGACTTGCGAGTGTTTATTTGTGGATGTTTTTTTTTACAGACGCTAAACATAGTTTGATTCCAATTCAATTTTTATACCTGTCTCCATCAATAATAACATAATTTAACTCGTTTTAATAACGAAGATATGCTAACATGCTAAAAAAAATGATTAGAGAGGAACTGAGCAAGGGGTCAAAGGGGTAGTATTGCAAAGGAGCAAGGCCAATTGGTGAAATGGGCTAAAACGTGACGGGTTAACGAGTTTCGGTGAAAAGGGGCGAAGGAATAACGGGGAAAAGAGGCAACAAATGGTATTAGTTCATTTAGTGTTAAATCCGCGGAATTAAAGAACAAATTACAATTTTTTTGTAATATTTCGATTGCTTATAATAATGGTTTGGATTTGTCTGCATGGTGTTAGTCTTTTAAACTACTTTTAAGAACAGTCTAGAGAAGTTTGCATGTAAACCTAGTACTCAGATCGACGAAAACCGAGAGCTAACCATAGGAGTGAGCGAGAGGCAGTGAGCGGCTAACGCTTTTCGTCGGGTCTGTTTTTCAGCGCGGTACTCAGATGAGCTAAGGAAATACCTGAAAAAATACCAGATTTCACGAGTTAATTTTCGATGGACGCCGTTAGCCGCGGCCCAAAGAATAAGAAATTTAATCTTTGGCGGTCTTTGTGCAAAGGCGATGTGGAAACTAAAAATTAAAAATGGAAGGAAGACCCCAAAATCGGTTGCAGGAGGTCAGTGCAGATGAAATAGGACGCCAAATCCAAGCTTATGCCCTTTATTGTGGGATTTCACCGACAACAAGCAATTCAACAAAAGGGGCAAATTCCCAGAATAGTTGAAGTACTGGAGGAGATCCACTAGAGAATCCCAGTGGGAAGGAACATGCCGAGTGGGACTTCGATCTCTTCATAGACAGCTGGAGGACCCGCTGGCTTCTATAGGGAGGAGGAATAAAGGGCGTCCGCTAAAGAAAAGTTGGAGAAGCCATAGCCAGCCACTGCCAGGATGCTGTGCGACTTCCTGCAGCATCAGCGGATCAACCCCGTTCTCCCACTTCCTCAAGGTCCAATATGCCTATTGGGACTCGGAACTGTACAGCGGTGGAGCGGGAAAGGTGGCGAAGCATACGTGGGACGAAAAGGAAGCTTTAAACTACTAATTTACATAAATGAAATTATTCGTTGCACATTCCATTTATTTTTAATTAAATTCCTTTGTGTACCAGCAGACTCCTCCTTTTTAAATTTCTCCAATTGATTTGTTTTCCGTTTGGAACGGGATCCAGCTGCTTAACAGTAAGACCATGCTACATGCATTGCGGGTGAACTTTGAAAACTTGGGTCACACTACAAAGAATAAGATTTTTCGACTAGTGAAACTCTTAGCCGATCTGAGTACTAGGCTTAATAAATCGGAAGCCCGCATACTTTGCTGCGCCGACATTTTCTGTTCCCAAAATCTTTCGGCGGTCATATCATTCTAGTGAACGTGTCACTGTAATTGAAATATAATTTCACTTATAGTGCGTGTATTATCAAACTAATAAATATGAATGTAAGAAATACCACATGTTTCAGACTGCATTACTTATATTAGAAAAATGTGATCTATTTAAATCATACTTGACTCGGGAAAACCGATCGATGTAAATATTATCATGTTGATATACCGAACTTAAGAGATATTTTAGCCGGCAATTTTATTGAAAATCCTTGCTGTGCCAGTAATTAAGTTTATCATCTATTCATGTATTTTACTTACGTTTGTTAAAAAAACTTGTATTACGTAAGCCAAGGTAATTGGGTATAACACTTTGTTTAGAAAATATCGAATTTAGACCACAATTTATTATTTTCGATCTCAAAGCTGGAAAAAAAACTTGCACGATTGATGCTCGATTCATGTTGCCCAATATAGTTATAGAACACGCAAGGGTAAAATATAAGCGGGCCTAACTAAAAGAAGCTAGCGCTACAATTAGTCTCGAATTCGGAACAGTAAAAGAAGGAACATTTTAACAATAAACTTAGTATGCTGTTATACCCAAATCCCACAAGCACCAGTCATGCGAAACGTTTGAGAATTTTTAGTAATAAGGCATTCCGACAAAAACTTTTAATATAGTTTAACCATACCCTTCAGTTCTGCAGTAGGGACGCGGTGACATGGCTCAAGGCAAAAAGCTTTTTTTGTTTTTTTTTTGTGCCTAAAACGCTGTGCCGCTGTTGACGTCAGCAGAGCAGTCGGCGCAGCGTAGAAGACTGCCCAAGAAAACGATCGTGCAACAAAGAGAGGCAGATACTCGGATATTTCCCTCTCTTTCTTGTCTTATAATCTGCCTGCACTCCGTGCTCGCAGAGACAAATTTCGGCCGGTCCGTTATTTTTTTTTGCGTATCTCCGTTATGTTCGGCTAGCGACTAGCGGAAAAATTTTCCTCGAGCAGCGACATGTGAATGCCCTAATATTTTAGGAGCATTATTGTGTATCGAAAATATACAACTTATATTGTTTTATAAAAGTAAATTATTTGATTATAGTAAAATTAAGTAATTTGGATTTACTTATAATGTTTGTTTACTTATTATACATTTTTATTACAATATATTTTTTAGTGTAATTATAGAAAATTAGTCCGTTAAAATTGATTTCAATATTTAAAACATTAGTAGTATTAGTATTAACATTTTTAAAAAATTCGTATTGTATTTCTTACTTAAGAAGTACAAATTATATAGTCGGATATATTTCGCCTTAGAAAGGGTATAAGTGCAGTGGCACGCGCCAACAGCGAAGAGAAAACAAAAGAAATCAAGTAAAGGGGTGAGAAGACTTGGTGCATTCTAATTGAGTGATTGAAAGGGAAGCATCCATGTTAATTGTGCGCAGCAGAGTTACTTTAGACGTCTCTTTAAGTTAATATAATAAAGTCAGGTAAGTGCTACGTTAAGTTTTAGATGTTGTGCATTGATCTTAGTTTAATGTACGTAAATATTGAAGGTATTCAATGGGTTCCGTTAGCCGAAAGTGGATGACGAAATGTTTTGATCCAATAAAAACCCTGCAAAGGGTTAAACACAGCTATAAAAGGTAAATATACAATTAAACAAATAAAACGCATTTTTTAAACATATGTTTTTTCAGGAGCGTTGGCCAAGGATTCAGAGGACCCGGACAAAGGTTTAAGAACGGCGATGACTAACGTTTAAAATAAGCTTACGAAGCAAAAAACCGGAAACAATAATTGTACAATTTTTGAAAATCTAAATAATACCATATAATTAAAATGAATTAAAATGAAATTAAATATGTATGTATTTTAAATTCTATATTTTTATAATTGAAAACTCAAGGAAAAATTCTGATTTTCCCAAGTGATTCACTTGGGACGTGTCCCTTGCAAGTGATTTCACAAGTGAAAACTCAAGGAAAAATTCTGATTTTCCCAAGTGATTCACTTGGGACGTGTCCCTTGCAAGTGATTTCACAAGTGAAAACTCAAGGAAAACTTCTGATTTTCCCAAGTGATTCACTTGGGACGTGTCACCGGCACGTGACAGGCCATACGAAAAATGAGTATAAGGAACAAGTGAAATCTCGTAGGACTTCGAAAAATTTTCATTTGAATTTTCACTTGTGAAAATGCGGACATCCCATACAATTTTCTATATGGAGCGTCACTTGTTCTTCACTTGTGCACGAGGACATGTCTCAGGTGATTCCCAAGGTGATTCACAAGTGAAACTTTTTTTTTTGAACTGAAGGGTAGTTAAACCATATGTGGAAAAATGTCTTTTATGGCAAATGTGAGTCAGAGGTAAAATTTAATACGAAAAATAGTTTAATTGACAAAAAAAATACATTTTTACAACTTATATTTTGCGTCATTATGAGTTAAGCAATCTAAGGGATAAGCAATTTTAAGACGCATCTGTCTCCCGAAGTTGGTCAAAATTGTAGCATAAATGGTCAAAGAATCGTTTGTGAGAAAAGTGTTATAAATAATTAACAGGAGCAAAGCCGTTTTAATTTAGAGAATTTTTCGTGGCTTTACCGTTGACCCAAAACAGTTTCTTGATAAATTTATTAATAGCAATGATGAAAACACTTGGCGCTGTAAAGGTTTGTCATGCTAATGTTCAACTTGCTCTACATTTTTACGTTATTTTCCTTTTTATTCGGAAAAACAAAATTTTTACGTCCTCTTCCTTCGGCTACGATTTGTTTATGCCAATCGGCTGTTTTTGGCCTTAGCAATTCTCTATTTAAAGCCTAGTACTCAGATCGGCTAAGAGTTTTACTAGTCGAAAAATCTTATTCTTTGTAGTGTGACCCGCAATGCATGTTACATGGTCTTACTGGCAACCAGCTGGGATTGTTGCCAAACGGAAAACAAATCAATTGGAACCATTTAAAAAAATGGTTGCTGGTGCACAAAAAAAAAATTAAAATAAATGAAATGTTCATAGAATGTTTTTATTTATGTAAATTAGAAGTTTAAGGCTTCCTTCTCGTCCCGCGTATGCTCCGCCATCTTTCCCGCGCCATCTGTAGTCCAGATCCGAGTCCCAATAGGCTGGCCAACAATGGCTGGTGATGGTTCCTCCAGCTGTCCCTCAGCGGGCGACCTTTTTTTCTCCTCCCTATAGAAGCCGCTTTAGCTGTCAAGTAATTGGTGGAGGTGGAGTCCTCAATGGAGAGCTTGTCGGAGATCGAGCGAACTCCCATGTTCCTTCCCACTAGGATACTCTAGTGGGTCTCCTCCTGCGCTTCAACTATTCTGCGGATTTGCCCCGTTGTGGTATTGCTTCCTGTCGGTCAAGTCCCACAATAATGGGCCACAGCTTGGATTATACCTCTTTTTTCAACTGCACTGACCTCCTTTAGCCGTTTTTGGTGTTTTTCTTCAATTTTTAATTTTTAAATTCCCCACCGCTTCTGCACGAACACCGCCAAAGATTAAATTTCTTATTCTTTGGGCCGTAAAAAATATTCAATTTGCTTTATATATTTCAGATTTCAAAAAAAAGAGTGCGTTCAGAATGTGTTTAGTTTGTTGCATCTAGGTGCATTCAAAATATATGCATCTACATGCATGCAACGGGCGCATTTTTTTTTATCTCGCACAGACAGGCAAGAAAGAAAGTCAGATATTTGCAGATTTCCCTTTCTTCTATTGTTTTATAATCTTATTGCACGCGGCGCTCGCACAGACAAAGCTAATGACCAAAATTTTGTCTGAAAATTTGTTGTGGCACAGTGACAAAAGTATTGTTTTATAAAATTCAGTTATCCTGGTGTCGCATCGCAACTGGATTCTGTGTTGCTCGGAACGGACTCACCGACATGATTCGTGCGGCGACGTAATAGCGTGTCTGGTCGCCGAGGGATCCTTCCACTGTTGCCCTTGTCCAAATGTTTCCAACCTACGGGCTTTCACTGCTAGATTATTAGAAGGGTGTTTCCAAGAAGATCCGCAAAAAGATATTGCCCTCAAAAGTGGGTCATTGAACGATCATTGATTCTCTCGTATGCTGTCTCTATATTCTTTCGTACCTTTTCTGGATCACTTGGAGCTTGTCCGCTGTCTGCATCCCAGCCATCTCGTGGTCATACAAGGACCTTAACTTCTTCGCTAACTTGTAGTTGGAGCCGTTCAGGAACATGTGATGTCAGAAGATAGTAAGGAAGAGCGCTTCTCCTGTCGCGGAGTGGATCGCGTTGCGAAAAGCTATTTCAATCTCTGGAACACAGAGAAAAGAACAGAACAATACCCGTATGATTTTGTCTCCTCAATTTTCACATATCACTTTTTTCATTTCAAAACAAGGAAGGAACAAAGGGAAATGGAGATTGAAATGCGCCACCTACCCGTGATATCAATATTATGTGGGCGATAAACAGATTTAAGCGTTATGCGCGTTAGAGTAGGCGTGGCAAACTTTTTTTTGTATCAATTGTTGGGTATTGACGAGACCAACACATTTCAGCTTTAATTGTGGGCGCCACAGGCTTGGTCGGTTTGTGGGCGTTAAAGTGGGCGTGGCATATTTGCGTAACAAACTTGCGCTGCGTTCAGGGCTACGGAATCTAAATCTGAGATCCCATTTCTCTTTCTTTGATAGCTTTCGAGATATCCGCGTTCATAATTACGATTTTTTGAAGTTTGTGGGCGGTTTGTGGGCGTTAAATTGTGCGTGGCTTTTTTTTTAGGTCAATCGATAGGTATTGATATGACCAATACATTTCAGTTAAAATTTTTATTCTAGCATCAAAACTGTAGGAGCCACATCTTTGGACGGTTTGTGGGCGTGGCACGCTGCTGAAACAAACTTGCGCTGCGTAAGAAGCTTAGGAATCTGCATGCCAAATCTCAATAGCCTAGCTCTTATAGTTTTCGAGATCTCAGCGTTCATTCGGACGGACAGACAGACTGACAGACGGACATGGCTAGATCGACTCGGCTAGTGGTCGTGATCAAGAATATATATATACTTTATGGGTTCGGAAACGCTTCCTTCTGCCTTTTACAAACTTTCCGACGAATCTAGTATACACTTTTACTCTACGAGTAACGGGTGTAATTATACGAATTCATATCAATATGACACGAATTCATATCAATAAGATACGAAATTACATATATCAATTACAAATGTTTATATGCATCCGTATGTGCATGTCAAATTGATATAATTTGCATATGTCTTTTTATAAGTCTTCGAAAAAAAGTAAAATGTGCCTTCGTATTCTTTGTGTATTTATGGTATTTGGAATAGTATTAAAAATATTGTTTGACTGAACTGCCGCTGTCACTCTGCTATTCAACGACAAGTTTTCATATAAAAGTGGAACAACTGTTTTTGATTTTGCGAATGTTTTGTATATTACATGCAATTGTACTTACTTGATGTTTATCTTATTCTCATTTATTTAAATTTGAACACTGTAACGTCCCTTCAGTTCTGCAGTAGGGTCGCGGTGACACTGCTGACGTCAGCAGGGAAGTCGGGGCAGCGTAGAAGCCTGCCTACGAAAACGATCGTGCAACAAAGAGAGGCAGATATTCGGAGGTCGAGGTCCCCTCTCTTTCTTTGTCTTATAATCTGCCTCCACTCGGTGCTCTTAGAGACAAATATCGGCCAGTCCGTTATTTCTTTTGCGTCTCTCCGTTATGCTCGACTTCCAACTACCATTTCGGCGGAAAAATTTTCATGGAGCAGCGACATGTGATGCCCTAATATTTTAGGAGCATTATTGTATTTCGAAAAAAAACAACTAATATTGTTTTATATTCAAAATATTTGATTATAGTAAAATTAAATAAGTTGAATTTACTTATAATGTTATTTTTACGTATTATACATTATTATTACGAAATATTTTTTTAGTTAGGTTATAGAAATTTAGTCCGTCAAAACTAATTTAAGTATTTAAAACATTTTAGTATTAACATTTTAAAATAATTCATATTGTATTTTTTACTCAAGAAGTAAAAATAATATAGTCGGATATTTTTCGCTTTAGAAAGGGTATAGGTGCAGTGGCACGCGCCAACAGCGAAGAGAAAACAAAAGAAATCAAGTAAAGGGGTGAGAAGAAGACTTGGTCCATTGAGTGATTGAGTGATTGAAAGGGATGCATAAATTTTAATTGTGCGCAGCAGAGTTACTTTAATAGTTTCTTTAAGTTAATATAATAAAGTCAGGTAGGTGCTACATTAAATTTTAAGATGGATGTTGTGCTTTAAACTTAGTTTAAAGTACGAAAATTTTGAAGGTATTTAATGGGTTCCGTTAGTCGAAAGTGGATGATGAAATGTTTTGTGCCAATAAAAATCCTGCAAAGGGTAAAACACAGCTCTAAGAGGTAAATATACAAATAAACAAATAAAACTAATTTTTTAAACATATACCCAACATTATTTCAGGAGCGTTGGCCAAGGATTAGGAGGACCCGGCAAAGATTTAAGAAAGGCGATGTCCAATGTAAAAACCAAATTAACGTAACATAAAACTTGGCTTACTAACAATAATTGTCCTTTAACAGAAAACGTAAATAACAATATTTAAATGGGAAATGGGAAAAATTCGGAATTTCACAAGTGATTTCACTTGGGACGTGTCACCCGCAAGTAATTTCACAAGTGAAAACTCATCAAAAATGTTCTGATTTCCACAAGTGATTTCATGTGGGACGTGTCATC